TTTTTTTTTTTTTTTTTTTTTTTTTTTTTTTTTTTTTTTTTTTTTTTTTTTTTTTTTTTTTTTTTTTTTTTTTTTGGGGGGGGGGGGGGGGGGGGGGGGTAGCCCTTATAGTAAACTGAAATCAGGTGATTTCTGGCAGCCCCCTTATGATTTAATTTTTTTGAGTTGTCAATTTGGGTTATATTAACCAATATCCATTGATTAGCATTAATACCAGTATGATTTTCAATAAATCTTGTAATCAACTCTATAAATTCATCAACTAGACTATTTTCAATAGCAAATTTTAATCTACTTTTAGCAACACCAAAGCTATGTACATATTCTTGCTTTTGTGTGATATTTGCGTGAATGCTAGATTGAAATATGTCTGCTTCACGAATTGACATTACTTGATTTGTCTCTGTAATCATACTTTGCTCTCTGATTGTACCTATAATTAACAAAGAATTAGATGTTTGCATTGGATCAGTATACCAGCATTTGAATACAAGTTTGATATCAAATTTGGCATTACTTGACATTTTAAAAATACTTAAAAAGTGCTTGCAATAAAACCTATTTGAAATATATAAAAGCAGGTATATATTATCTGCTAAAAGAATAACATAGTGAGGATAGCTATTGACATATTGATCAAACAAAAATACCTGCCAGATCTCAAGAATATTTTTTTGATTCACTATATTTATAATAGTTTCAAGTAAGGCTTGTAATGCATCATATTCATCCTCAAAAAACCTTTCTAAATACTCATGAGCTTTAGATAGCTAAATAAATATTAAATTTTTAAATATCCTTTATATATATTGAACAATGTATTATTACTCTGCAAATTCTGTAACTCTTGATCATTTTTTATATTGTAGCGAACAATTCTGATTTGTATCATAATATAAAAAATGAACAAGGACACAAATTTTGCAAATAATTAAAAATTTTACTAATATTAAATTATTTAAAATTTTAATTAAACTTGCTCGATACAAAACACTTTGAGATATTTGAATATTTTGTGCTGATGCTGATTCCAATATTAAGTATTTTTTAATATCATCCTGAATAGTTTTGAAAAAAACACTTGGAATGGTTAGAAGTCCTTAAGTAGATAATGTATTTTTATGTTCAAATAGTCTTTGATATTGTGTCTCACACTTGAGCTTTGTTTGAATAGCTTTTTTTAAGTTAAGAAGTGTAGTTTTTGCTCTAACCTCACTTTTAATAATTCTATTAATACTTTCTACTCATTGGGTGCTTTGTATCTTAGCACAAAATATTGAAAACACATAAATCTTGGCTTATGATTTTCATGATTTTCAAAGTTGTTGCAAATAACTTTGATCTTGTGGATATTTAACTAATATTTCTGCTCAATTGTGTTTCAATTCTGCCTCACTATGGCTATTACGACATTGGAACCAGCTTTTTAAAAAACTATTATAAGAATTATCTAGCTTGCGTAATAACTTTGGCAAGATTAGTTTGTATATAAAATATACAATAATTATACTTGGAATTAGAAAATACTTGACTAATAGCAAAAATCATAGCAATATCAGCATCAGTAAAAATTGCTTTTGGAGCTAAATTACTAGTTGCCTTTAGAATATAATTTAAAATTTATATATAAGAACCAATAGTTTTATCCTGTATAAGTGACTGCACCATAAGTCTTGTTTTATAATGATTATCGACAATTATAAATAGATTAAAAAGTATATTATATGTATTAGTTTTGGCAGTATTATTATTTACTACTATATTATGATAATATTTTTATAATTCTATTTGTACAGGTATTATTCAAAAAAGCTGTGAAAGATTATTATCTATGCCCTCAAACTTTATATAAATTGTCTATCTAGATTCTTTCTCTTGTTGTTTTATAAGCTATTTCACCATATCTGCTACATCATATTCTCTCTAATTATCTATTTGTTTTGTATAATGATGTATTGCATTGTATAAGTCACAATTATACAGTGGTTGGTCAGAAATTTTTTTTAAAATAAACCAGTACTGGGCCTTGGTCCGAGATTATATTCCTGTATCAAAAACTTTATTGTATTAAGAACCTTCTGGAAAAGTAAACGTAAGCTTAAAGCAAATTCTTTTTGATATAGTACAAGTAGATAATTATGGTTTTCAACAAACTTGTTAATAACTATGATACCAAGATTTTTTTGATATACTGTGTTGAGTTGCTATTCACATCTGACTTTTTTGACTCCTTTTCTCTTTGATATGTGGTATTAGCCTTTTTTTTAAAATGATGATCACTAGAATTCTCACAAAGAAAATATTGACGAATTATTTCACCATCATTATTGTATTCTACTTGAGATTTTATTGATTTAAAACCAACTTTTAGCTTATACTCTTTTAATATGTTCTCTAAAGACTTTCAACTAGAAAAAGTAGTACCATTTTGAATTATATATTCAGTGCTTTTATTGTTTTTATCAGTATCATGATTAAATTCACTATCACTTTGTTGCTTTTGCTTTAAATCTATAGGGTCTTCAGATAAAATACTAGAACTTAAATAGTGAGTTGTAGAAATAATTAATATATTATGAGTCATGAATGCTATAAATAAAATAGTAATAATGATTTAGAAATATATATCATTATTATATAACATACTGTAAAGTATCAAGTATAATACAAATATTTTACCATTTTCTTTTTTATTAAAGATATTAATACTTGAATCAGATGAAAAATTCATATTAATATTATTTGTCATGACTAGTGATCCTTTAAATTTTTAAAAAATTTAGTCACATATTAAACGTTAGTTTTAAACTGCCTATATGTTCATATCCAATTAACACTTATAAAATTATAATTGACACATACAATCTTATCACACCAAAGCCAAAAATCCCAAAGACCAATTGATTTTTTTTCAGGTTGTTATTAGATATATCAACTAAATTCATAATTTATTAAAAATGCAATGAAGATCGAAGTTGAACTATCTGATTATAAAATACCTTTATACCAAAAAACTTCAGTGATTCTTGAGGTTAAAAAGCACCAACTTGAGATCATGGAAGAGATAAATTTAATGAAGACTTGTATAAATTTAAGGCTACGAAAGGATAGTGATAAAAGTTGTTCTGTATATCAACCAAATTGATAATTTGCTGAAGTACCAAATATTGAACTACTGGGCTTTGAAATACTTTTACAAAAAAAAAAAAAGAATTCAGTAAATATCAAGTTTTGAAAAATTTAAGTTTACAAACAAGGAAACTTAAGATCGTGAAATGAATAAGTTCTTAACAGTACCTTGTAAAATAAAAATCGTGAGAAAGTAGGTATTAAAGATTGTTATCTTATATATCTACCAAATCAATAAATTTATTAAAGTGTCAAAATGTCCACGTTCTGAAAATATCTTTATACCAAAAGAAAAAAAATTCAATAAATATCAATATTTAAAAGCCCAAGAATAAGTTTACAAGTTTAAAAACACAAACAGGATAAAGCTAAAGTTGTAAAAAAGAGATATTTTAATGATACTTGTATAATCTATTCATATTACTTGAGGTTGTGAGAGAAGTAGGTGCTTGGCAAATAATTCACATGGCAGCTTTGTAGTTGCTTAAGTTTATAATTTTAAGGTTTTTTTCCTTGTGAGCTTTTTATTTAAACTTTTGTGAAAAAAAAGTGCTAACTATGTCTTGTAGTTACAAGCAACTTGCTACTTTACAGTTTACTACATCAAGAAGAAAAAAGTGATCAGTTCTTTAATTATGATTCTTATTTATTTAAGTAATCAATTGCATTATTATATCACTTCACAAATCGGATGAACAATATACTTTTGTACACTTATGTACATATAGAGCTCTTATATTATATATATATATACTAATATGATTATCATTAAAATACACATAATTAGCTACAATATTGCAACTTGCTACAGATATAAAATTTCTTTATATATATTGTTTTTTAGTTTAAATGTTTAAATTTTATATATTTTCAAACTATTGTTCTATTGATATAAAGCTAATATAATTATATTATATAAATTTATATTTTCTTTTTTTTAGACAATATTTTAAAATTTATTATATTAAAGAATGTGGTGACTTAGTGAAATGGTTAAGTTGTCATACCCCCAAGTAACATGTTGGCTAGGTAAAGGGTTCAAAATCTACTGGCGACGAATTTTGAAAATTCTATCTGTATATGGCTACTGTCATTCCGTTAATTAGTTGAAATATTTCTATAACCTTGGTAGTATCAACAAAGATTAGGAGATCATAGAGTATTTGTATAATATATAAGTTATATGAATAAGCTTTCAGATCGTAATAAACTCAGAGAACTAAGATATTGTCGGAACCAATGATAAAAAAATCAAGCACTTAAATGACATGCAGCAAATCAAGCCCGGATGATGGCTAAAAAACAAAAACAACTTGAAGAAGAAGGTATTGTTGAACAATGGGAGGGTGCTGGAAGACCATCAATTCTTGC